GGTGCACACCTTTAATCCTAGGACCCGGGATTAAGAGGTAGACGGCTCTCTGTGAGCCCAAAGTCATCCAGATCTACACAAGATTGATTCAGTCCTAAACAGAAGCAGCTCACACAAAGATGATCTCAGCACCTGGGATCACACGCCTTTAATCCCAACATTAGAGGTGTATGAAAGATACCTGAGATTGATTCTCCAGCCACATTGAGACTAGGAAGGCATTGAAGTCTCAGGATTCTCCAGTCACGCTGAGGAGAGGCTTCAGTCTGAGGTTTGGTGGAGCCAGGATCGCCTTCAGTCTGAAGTAGAGTGAGAGCTAGTGCCCGGCTGCTTTACTTTTCTGATCTTCAGCTTGAAGCTTGAACCCCAATATCAGTTTCTGGGTTTTTTACTTATCAAGCAACACCAAAGGTGACATGTGACAGGACAGTGGAAAGGTATGGGAAAGGACAAAGCGGGGAGGGAGAATGAGGAAGGAAGAAGAAACAAAGAAAACTTTGTTTGAAGAATACCATCTAGGCTCCACCCACAGAACTAGGACTAGACTGGCTGCTTGTGCTTGGGGTCTACTGCTGCATCTTCCATCCAAGCAGCAGGAGCCAATGATCCCTAGTCTCCTTCCCTACCCACGGGTCCAGGTAAACCAGGGCCCATTTCTGGACCACCTGCCTGGGCCTGGGCTCTGCCACTGAGGCTTCCAGCCCGGTAGAGGCTGCAGGAGCCAAGGTACCATAGTTCCCTGCTCCACCCACGGAACTAGGAGTAGACCGGCTGCCGGTGCTTGGGGACTGCCATGGTGGCTTCCATCCCAGAGGCAGGAGCAAACCCATCCCAGCATCCTCGTCTCCTGCTTCACCCACGTGACTAAGACTATCAGGGCCTGTCTCCAGGCCACACTCCTGTGCCTGGAGTATACTACAAGGGCTCCCATCCATTCTAGTGGGATCCAAAGCACCCCAGCATCCTAGTCCATTTCTCCACCCATAAGACCAGGAAGTGGAGAGCTACCAGAACAGTGGACTTGACTACACCCACCAGAAGGGCCCTGGTCCCACACCCATCAATAGAGGAAGAGGCACCCTCTGGAACCCACTGCAAGAATGGATGGGAAGGAGACAATATAAAAACACAAGGAGCAACAGAAAACCAATATGATACCGCCAGAGTCCAGAGACCCTACACCAACAAGACTGGAACACCCCAACATGAATGAAGCTAGAAGAGAATGACATAAAAAACAACTTCATGGAAATGATAGAGGCCCTCAAAGAGGATATGAGAAAATCCCTTAAAGAGATGGAAGAAAAAACAATCCAAAAATGCAAGAAATGGAGCAAAAGATAAAACAAATTTGCAAGAAACAATTCAAACAGTTTGAAATCTGAAATAGAAACAATAAAAAAAACCACAGTCTGAAGGAATGCTGGAAATAGAAAAACTGGGAAAATGGTCAGGTAATACAGATGCAAGCATAGCCAACAGAATACAAGAGATGGAAGAGAGAATGAATCTTAGGTGTTGAAGATACACTAGGAGAATTAGATTCATCAACCAAAGAAAAATTTAAGTCCAACAAATCCCTAACACAAAATATCCAGGAAATATGGGACACCGTGAAAAGACCAAACTTAAGAATAATAGGTATAGAAGAAGGTGAAGAAACCCACCTCAAAGGGCCAGAAAACATATTCAACAAAATAATAGAAGAAAACTTTCCCAACCTAAAGAAAAAAATGCCAATGAAGGCGCAAGAAGCTTACAGAACACCAAATAGAGTGGACCCCCCAAGAAAATCCCCCCAACACATAATAATCAAGATCCCAAACATACAGAATAAAGAAAGAATATTAAGAGCAGCTAAGGGAAAAGGCCAAGTTACATATAAAGGCAAACCTATCAGAATTACACCTGACTTCTCCATGGAAACTATGAAAGCCAGAAGGTCCTGGATAGATATTCTACCAACATTAAGAGACCACGAATGCCAGCCAAGACTGCTATACCCAGCAAAGCTTTCAATCACTATAGATGGAGAAAACAAGATATTTCATGACAAAACCAGATTTAAACAATACATGTCCACTAACCCAGCCCTATAGAAAATTGTGGAAGGAAAACATCGACCCAAGGAATTTAACTACAACCAGAAAAACATAAGCAATAGATAAACCCACTTTTCTAACAGGCAAAAGAAAAACTGATGGAAATCCACATACACTTCCACCACCAACAACCATTCCAAAACAAACAAGAATGAGCTATGAATGGTCATTAATTTCCCTCAATATTAATGGTCTTTACTCGCCCATAAAAAGCCACAGGTTAACAGATGGATTCGAAGACAGAATCCATCCTTCTGCTGCATACAAGAAACACATCTCAGCTTCAAAGACAGATGTTATTTTAGAGTTAAGGGTTGGGAAAAGATTTTCCAATCAAATGGACCCAAGAAACAAGCAGGAGTAGCAATCCTAATATCTAACAAATTAGACTTTAAACTAAAATCAATCAAAAAAGATGAAGGAGTTCATTTCATACTCATCACAGGAGAAATCAACCAAGATGAAGTCTCAATTCTGAATATCTATGCCCCAAATACAAAGCCATCCACGTTCGTAAAAGAAACATTACTAAAACTCAAAGCACATATAAAACCTCACATACTTGTAGTGGGAGACTTCAACACCCCACTCTCACCACTAGACAGGACCACAAGACATAAACTTAACAAGGATACGAAGGACCTAATAGAAGTTATGACCCAATTGGGTTTAACAGACATCTATGGAACACTCCATCCAAACACAAAAGAATATACCTTCTTCTCAGCTCCACACGGAACCTTCTCAAAAATCAACCACATACTTGGCAACATAGCAAACCTCAACAGATACAAAAAAAATGGAATAACTCCATGTATCTTATCAGACCATCATGCCTTAATGTTAGAATTCAACAATAACACAAATTGCAGAAACTCTGCAAACTTGTGGAAATTGAATAATACACAATTTCACCACTCCTGGGCCAAAGAAGAAATAAAAAAAGAAATTAAAGACTTCCTAGAATTCTAATTCTTTTCAGGCTAATACAAAACTTGAAAGATGTTGCACGAGTGTACATGAATGTCCCTTGTATTGAGTGATGAGATCTCTTTTATAAGGGCTATCCACGATAATAGACAGAAACAGCTTCGGGGACAAAATGATAAAGGATTGTTCACATGAAGCCTGCTGGTAGGCTTGTATCCTCTTCAATATCTATTGGGTAGAAGAGGTAAAATGGGAACCCACACTTAAGTTATTGTAAAATACTACATATAATCTAAATTTTATGTTATATGTAATATATATATTCATAGATATTGTATGTATCATATTCAAAGACATTTTATTAAATACTGCTCTACAGAACGTTATGGGAATAGAAAGTAGATTGAAACTTGATCATATTAATGCTACAAAATTCCACACAATTTGAATTTTATAGGATTCTGTATTATCTACATAATTATCTTCTTACTGTAGGTCTTTTAAGGTATTTTGTATTCTGAGATGCTGAAATCTCCATGTCTCAAATACGGCAAATATGGCATCCATTCCTTCAGTCCCATACTCGTTACCTCTAATCAAATCAGTACATAAACAATTTAGATATATCTGTCTCAAGATGTCTTCTAGTTGTATTCATGTGATCATTGTGTGTTAGGAGGGCCTACAACAGAGGAACAAGCACATGTGCACACGCATGTGCACATACACACACATGCTCATATCACACACACACACACACACACACACACACACACACACACACTATGTTCCCCACTTTTCTGGCCTCTGGAGTTTCAGGGTTAGCAGAAGACTAAGAAAACGGGAGTGAATGCGGAGCTACGGGACGCCGGCAGGGTGGTTGAGGTGCGGAGGACAGTATCTGCTGCAGGTCAGACCGGGGGTCCAGGGCCAGTTGGGGTGACTGGGAGACTCACGGTGGGTGAGGTGTATTAAGCTTTCTCAATGAGTTATCATGACACATCCTACTGAAGGAGCCACATCCCATGACTGTCACAGGTTCTGCTGTGTTATCCAGCCTGCCTGCCAAGTCCTGCCTCTGTGGTGACCTTTCTTTTGTGGCCTTGGCCTACTGATGGTTCGCATCGCCCTAGGCCCCTTCCTGCTCTTGTCCGGCTTTCAGTAAGCCACCAGATACCCTTGTAAGAAAGTGCAGATTTGGAGTAAGGAAAGAGACAGGCATAGACATTTCCTGTTGCTTTATTCATGCATATCATTCTTTGGGAACCCTTTGACCTCTTTGAAGTTCCCTTCCCTCTGAAAGACGGCAATTACAATAGCCATACTTACCTCAAGGAAGGTGAATAGCAAAGGAGAGGAGAGATGCTAGCAGTCCCTGCATAGCTTAGCATAGCATGAATGGTAATTATCTTTGCTGGGGTTAGAACACCGTGGGGTGGGACGCCAAGGCAAATCTTATAAATGCTGGTCTTGCCTAGAGAACTGAGCGCGCTGGGGATTTTACCATATATACAAACACGAATTGCAGTTGAATCTGGTGTTTATATCTTTCGAAGTGTATTTGTTTCCGATCCGGTCCGGATTTTTTCTCCCAGCTATTTATTGGCTTGAACCAGTTCTCTCTCTCTCTCTCTCTCTCTCTCTCTCTCTCTCTCTCTCTCTCTCTCTCTCTCTCTCTCTCTCTCTCTCTCTCTCTCTCTCTCTCTCTCTCTCTCTCTCTCTCTCTCTCTCTCTCTCTCTCTCTCTCTTCTGCTTCCTATTGAATATTATGAGAATAACAGAACACAAGGCGTATTGGCAAGATCCTTTGAAACAAGTCGTAGAGAACACGGAGTAAGTGATGCTTTTAATCAAGAAAGGACTTAGCTGGAACCTGCAGGCCTGGCTCTGAGCAAGGCTGGGTTGTGGGGCGCTCAGCTGGCAGGCTGGTCCAGCAGGGGACGCCCGAGAGCCTCACTGCAGCATCCCGGCGGCGGAGCGCGGCGGCGGCCGGCAGCAACTCGCGTCCTGCCGCAGTCTCTCGGCAGCTGGTCTGGGCGAGCGCAAGGGAGGAGACCCGCGCCCGGAAACCGCACTCGGAGCCGCGGTGACTTCCACCCGCGATCGCGGCCCCCCGGCTCTCAAACACCTCCCGCAGCCTGGGAGGGTCAGCGTGGGAGGGCTTCCCGATCTCTCGGGTCGGATTGCGAACTTGGAGAGGACCGCGGCTCTCTCTCTGGCCTGGAGAGTGAACAGGTGAGTGACACACACGTGTCCCAGGTGGCTCTCTGAGGACAGGGTGCAAGCCCCAGAGAGCTCAGTCCCTGGTTGCGTCCTCCAGATCTCGGGGAGGGTCCCTCGCCAAAGGCGACTTTGGGGTTCTCTGAGAGGGATGTGAACGCCAGCACCAGGCTTGACAGCGCGTCCGGAGCTAAGGGCGTCCTTCTGATGTCGGGGACATCTGCTCCCTGCTGTGGAGCCTACAGTCTGCAGGAGTCCAAGTCCAAGGTGGGCTAGCTCCTGGCTGCAGACCTGTTGAATTCAGGGTAACGAGACAGCCCGGGGGGCTTGCACGGTTACAACCTCTTTGCTGTGCGTGTTGCGTTGTGATACGATGAAGGAAAATTCCTAGCAACGGAATAACCCTGATTTCAGGAGAGGTCTGGCCCAGACGGAAGCGGTCTCACTCCCACCGTCAGACTGGCCCCGTTGCTGCCCTGCACAGCTACACTTTGTTTTTGTTGCTTGTAAGGAGGCCATAAAAACATGAAAATGTAGTTATAAAGATGCCCCCACCCCCACCAGAGGAAGTGGAAAACACTGACCTTGATAAGCGCAGTCTGGGAAATGATTTACTGGGAGCAAACCCTTTTGATGAGTAAATAAACATGGGTGAAGCTTTCTGAATGTCAGTCTAACAGAATCCCCACAGGTAGCCGCTTTGGTTTGTGTATACTTGCATGCGGTGAGTCAATGAGTTCATCAGTAGTATCAAATAAAACAATGCCTTTCTTTCCTTTACCCTGAAATTTTGCTCCAATGACTTTATGCATAGAAAAAAAAACCTCGGTATTTCATCTCCTAAATATTTAGGTGTGACTTTATGATTGGGGATGATAGGATCTTGAAAGTCGTTTGTTTATTTGTGTTGCCCAGCTAAAGCGTTCTGCTCATAGAGTGAACTTCTCTAGTCGTGGCAGGAATAGTTCCATGTGTTAGAACCAATGAGTTTTCTCACATCTGAGGGTTAGAAGGTCTCCAGTTACTAATTCAACAGAAACTTGCCTGCAGGTTACTATGACAACAGTTGACATGTTGATGGCTTCTGTCAAATTTTCATGTGGAAATAAAATGTGAAGGCATCTCTAGGGGTCAGTTTTGCATCTTCCCTTTGATTTTTCTAAACACACCGCAAGGCTGACAGTAGCCAGCAGGATCTTTATTATGTTACAAAGGGGGGGGGAATTAACCCACATAATTTGTCATTCACATGTGAAATCCATGAGCTTCACAGGCCCAATAGGAGTTACTGAAATATTTGACTTGGTTTGAAAAAAAATACAGTTGATGGTTACTTTTACAAAGTATTAATCAAGACTATATCCACATTTTAGACACATAGGATGACACTTTTACATGAAATAGCAAATTATTATTTATGGGTGTCCCTGTTATGAAGATGCTCTATGTTTCAAAGAAATGCAAGCTGGCAGCTATTCACAAGTTAAAAGACAGCTAACAAGTTTAATATGCAGACCTTAAATGTAAGGCCTTTCCTTTGTGGATGCATATAAAATGATGGATGAGGAATTTGTTTTGTTTTGGCACACTGCTTAGGTGACGTGGAATAGCCTGAAACTCGTGATGTAGCCCAAGCTGCTCTTGGATTCAAGGTCTTTCCATTCCAGCATCCCAAATGCTGGGGATACAGGCCAGCACCTAAGGAAATGCACATCTTTAGCTAAAAGGATGGGTCCAGATCTGTAAGATCTTTGAGGATCACTGCAAAGTTCTTGTTTGGAGTTGGAAGCAAAGACTGAAAGAAACACCCACCTCTTCTTCCCTGAGAAGTGCCCACACTTAAGAAACCTGCTCATCAAAATGTGTTAGGTCCACATTAATGGCTCAAATACGTGAGCGATAGTGGGAAAAGAGGAACTAACTTGTCTCTGCAGGATATGTATTGAGAGGGAGTTCTGTTTTCTCTTTCCCTTTCTTAGGCTGTTTCTTAAAATCTGTATATCCAAAACACTGTACCAGGCAGGATCAGTTAACATATTTAGGAAACAGATTGTGACATCATGTTGAGAAAGGTTCTGTCTCCCAGGCTGGCCTCAAGGTGAGCGACTGCGAGTGACCTTGAACTTCTGAACTTCTTCCTAAATTCTGTGATCATAGGTTCACGTCACCATGCCTAGCAGAAACACAACTTTAGGAGGCAGAACAGTGAGTGAATTCTGAATACCAGTGCCACTGAGTTTAACACATGTGAAAGTGGGACTTTGAGTTGATGGTCGTAGCTTGATGGAGAGGCTCAGGCAGTGGGAGTCCTTAGCCAATGGGAAAACTGTAAGGCTTCCCATGGTTGGCTGTGCTAGTAGCAACCACAGCGGACATGTCGGAACTTCTGTTGTGACAGCTTACCAGGTTGTGTGTCAAGTTGTGAGGATGAAAACTCCACGTTTTTAGAGTCATTAAAACAGCCGGTGCCCGGGGGCAAGTGTGCGTATGGTGGGGGGGGGGGGTCAAGGACTTAAGCAAGGTCTTTATCATTTGCTGTGTGTCCCCTGAAGAATGCGTGAACAGCTGGCCCTCACTTTCCTAGAAAGTGGAAGCCTAGGATGGGGCAGTGTCCTAAGGGCTGTCAGACTGTGTAGCCCCATCTTAGTGAAAGAAATGACTTGTTTCCATGGAAAAGAACCAGGACATCACAGGCAGAAGTAACAAGGAGACATATCACAGCCCAATATTATAGGTAAGGAAGTTCTCCTGATTAGAAAAGGCTGCCTATGAATGACATGACTTACAAAGGAAATAAACTGATCTTGAGTACCTGGAATTGACCAATCGGACACAGAATGGTTGGCTAACAGAGGCAAATCTGCAATAGTGGGGAGATTTCCCTTGACTGGTCCCCTACCCAAGGCCTTTCCCAAGTTTACGTTTCTTCGGGTGTTAAGAACCGTGAGAGGCTGAGCTAAGAGTATAACCTGTGACAGATGCTTGCCTACCATCATGAGTGAGGCCTTAGGTTCCATCTCCAGCACAGCATAAAATTCAGTCACCAAGAGCTACAGATGCCACGACTCAACATCGGCCTGTGCACAACGAGCAGAGGCACACGAAGCCATGTGTGCACCATTAGTGTTAGGACCTCCTTATAAATGGACGCACCTGAGATCATCTTTAAAGAGGACCACGGATGCGGAGCACACCACATACCTCCTGTGTGCCAGGGGATCACATCCGGCAGAACATAGTCGTATAATTTGCATATTTTGCACGTATCGAGTTTTGAATCATGCGTACCTGTTACGTGATTTACCCTGCGATCTATTGTGAACTGAGGTGAAATCTAACCTTGCAGTCGACAGTTGGATTGCGTGGCAATGCAGTTGACCGATACGCATGCGCATGGCTCATTAAAGAGATCCCAAGGTGCCTCTTCCCATCATGTGTGTACTGGCTGGTTTTGTGTGTCAACTTGACACAAGCTAGTTTCGTCGGCTAGGCATCAGCTGAGGAAATGTCTGCATGAGACCCAGCTGTAAGGCATTTTCTCAATTAGTGAGCAATGAGAGGGCCCAGCCCATGGTGGGTGGTGCCATCCCTGGGCTGGTGGTCCTGCATTCTATAAGAAATCAGAGCAAGCCAGGGGAGGTGAGCCAGTAACAGCGCCTGTCCACGGCCTCTGCGTCAGCTCCTGCCTCCAGGATCCTGCCCTGTCTGAGTACCCGTCCTGACTTCCTTCGTTGGTGAACAGCAATGAGGAAATGTAGGCTGAACAAATCCTTTCCTCTCCAACTTGCTTTATGGTCATGGTGTTTTGTCAAGGTAATTGAACCCATAACTAAGACAATGTGTATTTATATGTGGAGGATTTGTAAGCAGTGGTAAATGCATTTATTCACATAGCATTTCTTATCAATTATGCCAAAAAACAATCTATTCATAAAAACATAGTAGAGGAAGTATTTTAAAGGCGATGCTATTGCTGGGCGTTGGTGGTGAACACCTTTAATCGCAGCACTCAGGAGGCACAGGCAGACTGATCTCTGTGAGTTGGAGGCCAGCCTGGTCTACACAGCAAGTTCCAGGACAGGCTCCAAAGCCACACAGAGAAACCCTGGACATGCTTGATGGTCTTTGGGTCTCCAGATCTGTGGCTACCAGCTGGCATTCCTGTAACAATACTATGTGTACACATATTTTAAAACCAAACAGTTTTATTTTTTAAAGATCACTTGTATTTGTAATTAGGCATTTGTGTTTTTGGAGCTGTGTTCCCACCTGAAGTACCATAGAGACCTGAAGAGTTCTTTGGAATCCCAGGCAGTTGTGAGCCACCCAATGGGGTGCTGGGAGCCAAACTCTGGTCTCCTGACGATCAGTGATCACTGCTGCTCTTAAGCAGGACGCTAACCTATCCCTCCAGTCCCAGCTCTAAATTCCTAAGTCCCAACTGTGCCTTACTCTGTGGTTTAGAGTGAGTCCCTATGGCCCTCTCACAGAGCAGTGGTGAAAACCAAACTAGAAGATGCATAACTCGGGTGGTTTGATGGTAACTGCCAACCTGTCGGGATTCTGGGAATCACCTGGGAGATGGACTTCTGAGCCTGCCAGTGAGAAGTGATCTTCACGGAAGGCCCCAACCACTGTGAGGCGAGCAGTAGCAGACCTTGGTGCCTTCTGGTGGCAGGTGTGATGTGACCAACTGTGTCACACTCCTACTGTCTTGACCTCCAGCCTGCCGTGATGAACTATGCGTTGCCTTTGCCACGGTATTTTATCACAGCTACAGGAGAAGAAACTAAGACGAAGGGTGACTGGCGTTTCACAGATGTTTCTTTTCTCACTTGGAATCTGCAACTCTCTTTTCTTTTAAGGATTGTGGACCCTTTGGAGGTTGACAATGACACAGTGAACCTGAAGGCTACCAGCAAAGCCATCTGCTCGCATCCTGAGTCTGAACAGTACATCCCGTCGTCACCAACCATGGCGAAGAGCGCAGAGGTCAAACTGGCCATATTTGGGAGAGCAGGCGTGGGCAAGTCAGGTGAGCTCCTTCTCATGGCATTTATAGGATCTGTGAGTTTGTCACAGCTTTCAGGATGGGGCAGGTAAGCAGCCCTGCTGTCCTACCCCTGTATCTAGAAGTTTTCTTTTTCACAGCCAACTCAGGATTTGTCTACTTACTTATGACAAAGTAAATTTGCTGATAAAGTACAAGGCACAGGATAGGTCATAGACCGAATCCAAAGAAATCAAACTGTGGAAATGTCACAAAGTATCTGTTCTTCCCTCACTATGGTAGATCTCAAGGCGTCAATTATATGTCTCATCTATTTGTATATTCTCACCAAAATGGTCCAAGGTCAAGCAGATGCCAGGGCCCTAGTAAGTGCTTGTTGAATGAATCTATCTTTGTCGGCGACAGAATTGTTTTCTTGCCCAGTCTTCTATAGTGGGAGAAGGACACTTGAAATTAGGCGTGCAAACTTCCAAGCAAGAGAGCTATGACCAGGCCCCCAGAGTGAATTTGAATTAGCAATTCCGAATAACATCACTAATTCAGAGCCCTCTTTTGCTTTGTTGTGCTAAAGGGGTTTTTAGAGGCCGCTTTTATTTGGCGGTGCCAAGGGGGTGAAAGCCAGGACCGTGTTCATGCCGGGCATCACTCTGTCCCTGAGCAACATCCCCAGCCCTGGGCTCCTTGAGACAGTCTCCTAAAAGACCAAAATCATCACTCACTTCCTATGCTTAAAATCAAGTGTAGGCTAAAGGAGATGGTGCCCAGTGCTAACACCACATGGCTTTACCAGTGACAGGGATCAGGGCTTGCTTGGTGTCTCATGGGAAGGAACCAAAACCATACAGAGTTTTTGGCAGTCGGCAAGGACACAAACACCTCCGAGGGGTGTGAGTGGGTAGACAGATACCTGCCCAGAAATAAACCGGCTGATCCCCATACAGGTAATCTATGCGCTCTTAAAGAAACACACACACACACACACACACACACACACACTCACACACACCTTCCTTACAGTTCTGTGACCAGCCTCCTCCTAGCCATCTCCCTGGCTGTCTCAACAGCGATCTGCCCTGCTGTAGGTCTTGTCTCTGTTGGGTTTTCTTGGCTCTTTCTCTGCCACCTTGCTTCTCGGCTGTTCTTGCCTCGGGTGGAATCCAAACAGGGCAAACAGCGGCCAGGACTGAAGATGCCCAAGCCCCGCCCCTTTAATCTCCTTTGGTTTCCCAATGGTGTGAGAACCTCAGTCTGTAGCTGGTAGAAGGAACTGGAGAATGAGGAAACTGCCCCAGGGAGTGCCTCTGGTGGAAGGAACGGAACACGTGGGATGGAGAGCAGGAGAGAGGTGCTGGGGGGGGCGAGGGCGCGTGGGAAGATTGGGTTTTTAACAGTGTCTCGGTTTGTGTGACTGGGGGGTTTAGCCATCCATCCTCCTTCCTTCCCTCTCTCTCTCCCTTCCTTCCTTCCTTCCTTCCTTCCTTCCTTCCTTCCTTCCTTCCTTCCTTCCTTCCTCTTCCTACCTCCAACAGGAGAATAAGAGGAAGAGTTCTTCCAAGCCTTCCTGCATGGTTTGGAAAAGCTGAACGCTGAACGTAGGGCTTGCAAGATGGCTGGAGGGTAGGAGGACTTGCAGCTCAAGCATAGGACACCTGAGCTGAATCTCCAGCACCAGTGTAAAGAGCTGGGCGTGGCTAGCGCATGCCCAGTCTTAGCTACAGGTGAGGGAACAGGATTGCCTGGGCTTGCTCCCAGCCAGCCTCCTCGCCCTGGGCTCAGTGAGCCTTTCTGGAGGAAATCAGTGAAAAAGCAGAACACCTAATGCCTTGCTGGTTCCTCTGTCCATCCCACACACCACACTTCCCAGCACAGACGGCACACACACCGCTCCCCCAAGTAAACACACATTTTAGTTTTGAAAACGATCTAGACATGAGATGCAGCCTCGGGGAAGAAGTACTCGGTTTGTGAATGCCCATCCGCACCCCATCTTCAGCCCCTCAGAGAGAACGGACCCTCCTATCCAGCCTGACTCACCGCCTGAGCTGTAACTTCAGTTTCCTTTGTGGGTCTCCAAAGTGCTCTCCACTAATGTAGCACCTGGCCCCGTCATTCCCTCCTGACCCGGTTTTCCCTGAGCCGCCTTCCATCTTTGTCTCTTCCGAAATTTAGTGAACATGGGCACTGTGTTTCCCAACTTGTCTCTTCTGCTCATTTGCAGTTTAAGCGTGTGGACCTGTTGCTGTAGCCATTCCACAGAAACTGCCACTGCTGGGTCCACTACCCACCAATGCCCAAGAAAGTGATTTAACAAAGCTATCATCCTTTCAGGACTCTTTCAATGACTCCTTACAACCCCTCTTCCCCAAGGTTCCTTCCCAGGGGGTTGGGGCACTACCCTCCCTCCTGGCTTTCTGGGTTCTTCTGTTGACTCTAACTAGTTTGTGCCCTGCCTGCCTCTGACCTTGGGTCTTCTAGGGGTCTGCATGATAAGTAAAACCTCCTAGACTGTTCCCGTTTCCCGAGGGTGATTCTTCATGTGTGATTCTCCATGTCCTGGGCAAAGATGACGCCTGCTCTAGGGGAACAAGTTTGGATGACCTGAGCTTTTTTATTTTTCATATTGAAAGCATAGGTTGAAACTGCTTATGAAGGTCCTTACCAGATCTGTATCTTGATTGAGAGTAAATAAATCTTTTCAGATCCATTTCTGTGTGTGTGTTTGCCGTGTGCCCACGCACACTCATGTACATATGTGTACATGCACGTAGAAGTCAGAGGTCAACCTCAGACACCTTCAGTCAGCAGCCATCTTTTTTTTTTTTTTGAGACAGTTTCTCTTGTTGGCCAGGAGTTTGCCATTTGGCTAGGTGGCTAGCCAGTAAGCCCTAGGAGTATGCCTGGGTCTTTCTCCAGGTGAGGGAAGGACCTCCCGGGGAGCCAGCTTGAGATGGGGTCTGCGGAGACTGAGCATCTCTGATTTGACTTGGTCTGAATTGTTCGAGGGGCGCAGGCTCACTTCACCTCTCTGCTGTCTCACCCACTCACTGATGTGTGTAAACCACGTTGTCTCTACTATTTGGGATTTATATCATTCTGAGTCTTGAGCGCTGGGCATGTGCTATGATCTACTTCCAAGTCTCCCCGCACACCGCGGGCCCCCCCTTCCCCCGTTTGCTCTGTGAACTTGGCAATGTGAGGCAAACCATTCCTCAATTCTTTAAGCTATGGGAAACACATGGCAGTGTCCATGTCCATCTCAGTTATCAAAACTGAGTCATTACACGCAAGTGTTTTAGCACAGATCATGACACGTAGCAGATGTGCATGCGCTATCTCATATTATTAGGATGTTTCCTGTATGCTTTTGATTTCTGAGTTCCATGGTGAATAAATTAAATCAAAAGTAAATGTGTATTCTACTGGGTATTTTGTTTTATCTCTGAAAATCAAAAGGCTAGAGTAAGGTGAAACTATGTCCTTACTCAGCAATACCAGCATATGCAGACACACAAACATGCATACACACAGAGGGATGGGGAGAAACAGAGAGACAGACAGAGAGAGAGAGAGAGAGAGAGACAGAGACAGAGACAGAGACAGAGACAGAGAGACAGAGTGTTCCCTTTTATGAATCCAAGGCCTGGCTCATGCCAATTACAACTTGGTTATAATCCTACTTAATAGCTTTATATTAAACCATGGGAAAATAGTCAGAAATATGTAGTTTCACCAGTATATCGACACTCTTCCATTTGAAAGTGTTTCTGGTGTGTAGTGGAAGGCTTTCTAGTCCCAAGTGACAGACAGGTCTTCTGTGTTTGAAAAAGAATTGAACGGAACTTCCCAGTTGACAAGTTGACCATGGAAGCATCAGCAAGGGCTCAGTTTAAGAATGTGCTAATGACTGGAGTAGACCAATACAGTGAGGAGCGTGTGTGTGACACGCATGTGAAAGCATGCTGAGCCTGGTGGAGGGCACAGGCTCTTTACCCAGTCTAGCTTCACCACGCAGGCTTGTCTTCATGTGAGCTTGCTGGCTGAGGGACAGCATGCTGAGCACAGTGGTGTGTGTGTGTGTGTGTGTGTGTGTGTGTGTGTGTGTGACAACCTGTAGGCTGTGGTTTCCCAGCCTTTCCTGTCTTCTTCCCCAGCATGGTAAACATTTCCCTTCACTAGCCAATGGTAGACCATGAGTATCACGGCTCTCACACTTCCCTCCTGAGTGTCTCAGTCTATATTTTGACAGGTTCCAAGTAATTAAGCAAAAGACCTGCCAAAGCCCGAAAGACACCAGACACACACTTTATTAAATTCTTCCTAGATGTATTCAGATCTACAAGTGTGAGAAGGGTTGATTAAAAAAAAACAACTGGAAATTTAAATTTAGTTTCACAGTTGACACTCTTGTTTCAGAGCTGAGACACTCTGTGCCATCACAAGATGTATTTCTTGGAAGGGCCAGTCTGGTTGATTGTATCTCCTAACTCAAAATGTATCCCCTAACTCAAAAGCCAATGGGTACACTCATCCGTGCAAGCTTAAATACAGATTTCGGAGCCATAAACTGGTTACCAAATCAAAACAGCTTGTGATATTTTCATTCCTTGGCACGAGGATAGTTTTCTCCTTGTTCTTGTCTGCCACTTTTTACTTTAATGAAACAGCAACAAATTTTCTTTTCTTTTTTCAGATAAAGGGTCTTGTGTATCCCAGGCTGGCTTCAAATCCATTATATAGCAGAGGATGACCTTGAACTCCTGATCCTCCTGCCTCTGACTCTCAAGGGCTAGAATGGAAAGTGTGTGCCACCACGCCCAGTTCTATGTGCAATGCCAGGAATGAAACCCAGGACTTGATGTGAGCTAAGCGCGGACTCTAGCGAGTGAGTCAGTCACACCCCCATCTCAACGATTTCTGAGTTTAGATGGGAGTTTCTGCTATACACACTAAACTATTTTAAAATATGTGTGCACATATGACCGGAATTTACTTGTGAGTCTGTGTGCGATCAGGTCAGTCTCCTT